CTTTCTATTTTATAAATATAAAATATATAAATATAATTGCGCATACCTTAGCAATTAAATGAAATAGTTGGAGTCAACAATGCCTTGTTCTTCTCTAAACTTTTTTCACCAGTACATAGTATATATTCTGATCATATCTGTTGAAGTGAGTATGGAACATGTTTTATGTTTCACTCTTGTGAAAAAACCCATTCAAGAAATTTCTAGTACAGCAGGCGATGTAACCTGGGTCTCCCAAATTTTAGGTTTCTAACAAGTAATTCTTGTCCCCAGTCTCTCATCCCACATGTTAAATAAAGGTAATTTTATGCTGTGAAATGGGCATGAAATGCTATGAAAAGAACATTAACATAAGGTTAAGATTGTCACTGAGTCTCAGTTTTGAAAAGGCACTTAATAGCCTGTTCTTCTGTAGTGTAGAAGGTCCTGGAAACGACGTAGAATCACTGCAGCTGCATACATTGTGTTGAATAGCACAATAGATGACTTAGAGGACCATGAAGGGAGCGTGATTATGAGAGAGGATTTAGATCTAATCATGTTTGCTTGCTTGCTTTCCTCCTTCCTTTACGCCAAAGTGGATTTTAGCATTGAGCTACAGGTCCTCTCATATTTTGGTCAAGGGAAAGATTTGGACTAGGCACAGTGTCCTTGAACAGCCAAGCTCACGTATACATAGACTGGTTAAAAATTCTCTACTCTACTCTGTGTATACATTAGTATTATAATATGTTCAGTATTTGTCTCTGTAAGGAAAAGTTCTTTTTGTATGCTGTTTTTAATTTTGTTATTCAAGATAGGTAGAGATGTCATATTCTGCCTTAGTAAGTGTTACGTATCAGTGCCTCTGATCTGAGCCTGAGTAAAAAAGATAAAGGATTTACTGCTTTTGAGTAACTCTGTTTACTGGAGAAAAGGGCAATAGAAGCATTTGGAGAAAGGCAACTCGGCTAAGATTACATGTTTTTATTATTTTTAGGGTTTACTGAATGGTTACTTTATATAAATTTGTTTCTTATATATTTTTTGCATCTCTTTTCTAGGCCTACCTGACAGTATGTAAAGATGTCATAATGGTTGGCCTTGGCAATCTCACCTTTCAAGCACAGCTTTTAGATATGGCTCTTTCAGTTATACAAACAGGTAAAATGTTTTGTACTAACCTCAACATCTTCATATATACTTAGCTGACTTTTCTTATATTGACAGAACTCTTGCTTTTAGCATTTTGGAATCTGTTTCTCAGAAAATGGTGTTTACAGCCTATGCTAGCTAGTGCCAATAATGTGGTCAAAAGTCACAGCAGTTTTCAGAAAACTGAAAACAAGCAGAGAACCAACCCAGAACCATGACGCTGCTGCTAACTAAGGTTTCTTCCTTGCTCTTAGATTCCAGTTATTACTATATAATTCAGGGGGGTTTATATATATATATATGCAAAGTGTGTTTTAACATATATATTAAAAAAGTGATATAGGTACATTTTTTTATATATATATCTCTATATATATCAGTATGCCTTAGGAGACAACATTGTAGCACTATTTAAATTTGGTTCACATTTGGAAGTTATGTCTACAGTATAGACAGAATTAGAGCTCAGTTCCTGAAGAAATCTACAGTTTTAATCCCTATACTTCAAGAATTGGAAGGAACACTGGATTTATACTTAAATTTTTGAACTGTATGAAAATTTCAGCAAAGGATGCTCAGAAACTAAATATATCATCTGTACTTGTGAATTATAGCTACTTATGGTATATAACTAAGTTTCATTCTAAGGTTGTATCTGAAGAATATTTCATTATAATTTTTATATCGTGGTATTTATCTCTTTCTCTAGAGAGAGGTGGCTTTTGTGCTCCAGTGTTACTGTATGCTCTAAAAGAAATTATTGAAGCTTCTTTAGCTCAGAATACTGGGACAGATGAAGTGGCAAATCTTTTCCATGCTGTACAGACCGTCTTCCAGAAAGCTTTAGAATGCGTGGCTCGTAGACTCAAGAAACAGCGGGAAGAAGGGATTCAGGTATCATATTACACTTGAAATTGCTACCTAATGTGTAGATGAATCCCTATTTTTTACACAAATGTGTATAGACACTTTGTGGGTTTATTCAAATTAACATCTGATTAAATTTTCAGTTAAATTTTCTAAATTTCCTCATTACCAATGCGGGGGTTTTTTTATCCATTGTTGGTCTCATCATGACAGAGGAGCTAGTAAATTGGAGAACAATGGATTCTGCTACTGATGATCCTGAACTACCCTAGTACTCACAGGTTATTAATCTTATCTGCAATTACATGAACTTTCTCAATCCAGAGCAAAGAATTTGGTTGTACATATGATGATCTTGGGAGGGAGAAAAATTTGTTGTTATTTTATTTATTTCTTTCAGCCTGAATTATATCAGCTTCAAAATATATCTGATGTCCTAAAGTTCTTCAAAACCTCCTATCTTCACAGAAAAGTTAGCTTCTTGTATTTTATAGCTGAGACTAGATAGTAGTGAGATGGGTGGATCAATTCTGCTCAAGTCATCTAAAACTCTGATCTATTTTTCTTTGGTTTTAGTTGATTCACTCTATTCAAATGCCTCTTGGAGAATTCGTACATGCAGTCCAGTACTGGCATTCATCTTGCCCAGCAGTTCACCAAGGTGTACTCTCTACTCTCCTGGCTGCAATAGTAGCAGAGATAAATTATGTGCTACAGAAGGTAAAGTTAATGTTGACTTTTTTCTTCTTTTTTTTTTTTAAACACCTACTGCCTTTTAAATATTATGTTGGAACAATAGAGCTATGTTCAGAAAGTGTGATCTTTGGTACTGCTGAGCAAGATTTTGTGTGTGTTGGCATGGAACAAACAGGAAATTTTATTTGCAATAATTTCATATTACAGTGCATCTCTCAGATTTATGAACACAGCTGTGTAAGAACAGAGTTGTCCTGATACCAAGTTCACTATCTGCCTCTGACAGAAGAGTTTAGAAATTAGGCAGTGTTGGAGATTAACGACATGTTTTTTGAGATGTTCTCTCTATGTGTATTTGTGCTGCGTCTGGCTGGGAAGGAGTTAACTTTCTTCACAGTGGTCCCACGGTGCTATGGTTTAAATTTGTGGCTAAAACACAGCTGAGGGCACACCAGTTAGTTTTGGCTGTTGCTGAACACAGCCAAGGCTGTTGACCCAAACTGACCAAAGACAGATTCCATACCATATAATGTTGTCCTCAGCAATAAAACCCAGGAAAAGGAGGAGAAAGGAAGATCGTTCTAACTCACCTTACTTCGTCTCTCCCAGCAATAGAGAACCTGAGAAGTGAACCACTGATCTCTGAGAGATTCCAGTTCCTTATTCTTGGAACCATCTCAGAAGGTTCTGTAATCCTGTTCCAAAGCAGGCTGATGTCTTGCTTGGCACTGATCACTTGCACATTCTCTGCTTCAATACAGATCCATTTCTCATACCACATCTTTTTTCTTTTTTGGTTCCTCTGGTTTTTGTCTAGAGGATTTCCAAATATCTGATCTGAGTTTCTTTGGAAAGTGGAGAAGGAAGCTCTAAAACTGAAAAGAACTTATAGACAGAGGTTATTGTATGGGCTAAAAGTCCAAGGAACTATTACTGTCCTTGAAGGAGAAGGGTAACATTCTCAATGCGTGTTCATAATGCGTGTAGTATTAGGAGCAAATACGACTAGTAAGACTGGAAGCTTTCAGAACTAACAAGGAAGAGCAGAGGTTCTTGAGCAGTGGCTGTATTCTTACTGTGGTTGCTGGATATGTCAGAAATAGAGCACTAAACGGTTGCCAGAAGGTACCAAGTACAACAGAGCAGCTCCCAAGATTCTGTGTTACAGAAGGAACTGAAACAATACAATCTCTGCAAATATTAATGTATCTGCTGAGGGGCTGTGGGATGAGACCATGCTCTTTACAGATGCTGCAGAATAGAAGTTTGTGGTCTTGAATGCTACTGCGGATTCACAGTCATAGATTATGAATGTTCATTGCAGTAAGTCACCTCAGCTGGGGTTTTCGCTGTCCCCATGTTATTGTACTATAAATCAAATTTCAGTTCTAACTACATACTTGCCATGCTATTCACAACTTGATACCAAAAAGAGCTGACACAGGGAATCAGGAAATCACTGTCACCTAAGTTATTTTTAGACATGATGTATGCACACTTAAACTTGGGACACAGAGGGTACTCATTTGTGTTTAGTAGGCTGTGCCTTTATAAATAGTGAGCAACAATGTAGTTCAATGAAACTTCTATTCAGAACATTTGGAGAATATTTGCCTTGATACAAATACTGTTTATTTGTTTTAGTTTTAGCCTAATTTAAATTTGTTTATTTGTACAAGACACAATTGGATTAAGGCTATTCAAAGAACACACGTGAATGTTTCTCCTAATTATTTTAGGATAGGTCTTGGTTAGTATAATTATGGAAATACAAATTTGCTTTGATATTTTCTGCATACTTGTGTTTCTTGATCTACAACAGTTGTTGACTTTTTTCTTTTTTAGGCTTCCAGTGAAAAAGACTTAACTATACCAAAGACTATTTCAGACCTTCCTCCTCTTTCAAGCAGTTTAATGGCCATAATTGTGAAGTCAGTTAATGTTGTCAGGTAAATGTTTCTATGTTAATTTGTCTAAGGTTGTTGCTAATGTAGAAGAGTTTATATGCTGTCAATGAAGTTTTCTAAATTCAAATAAATTTTGAGGAACTAGTTGCTTACTAAATTTACCTGCACTACTTCCTAATCCCTTTTGCTTGACATATTGCTTGTAGGTATTGATTGCGAGGCTTAGTTCCATTTTTTTACCTGCTTCTAAGAGTGCTTCTTATTTACTAGACTGTTCATCTAAATGAGTTCTTTAATCATATGTCTTGACTTGCTTCCTTCATAAGGTACTTATAAACGTTAGTCCCCTCAATATAGAGGAATTTATATGAGATAAAATATTTACCAGAAATAGCATCAATCATTTAATTGAACACCTGCAATCAGGGGACAAACGTACTATAGCTGTATTAAAATCACAAAATTCAAAATAGTTTTAAAGTATCTGAGCCCTAAAAGCCCCCAAAAGTAGGGTTACATCTTTTTTTTTTTAAGACTTAAACTGTTGTGGGGTTTTTTTTAATTTGCTGTATTTAGTGGGTCCTCTGAATATCTTCTAAAATTGTCACAAGTGAATTTCATTTTGCTCAGTTTGTTCAGATTCAATTTTTATTTACATGACTACCCACACCAGATTTATGTTAAATGATCAAGGGGCTAATGTGTATTCCTTAGAAGTCCTATCATTCTCCATGACTTATCAGAAGTAACTCCTATTCTTTGTCATCTGACAGGCATTGAATATCCCTGTCTCTGCTGTCATGAGGTTTTTTTTTCTTCTCAATCCTTCTCTAGTTCTAGTTGAACTTCTAAAAAATGGACTACTTTTAAGGCTGTTTTCTTTTAGTAATCTGTATTGATAGGCCATTATCATAGTCCAGTAGTAAATCATTCAGTATCTCAGAAATCCCATGTTTCCATGCCAATGCAAAAGCCTTTGACGTTACAGAATCTGATGCGAGCTTCTATTCTGTGAACACACAATCATCTTGCACCGGGTTCTGCAGTATTGATTATGTTTTCAGTTACTAATTAGTCACTCTCCCCCACTGAATTTCAGTCCCCATATCAGTGATAATACTGAGTGACTTGGCAATATCTGACCAATTGTGTGAGTATCCTTTCCTTTAGTAAGGAACTATCTGTATAGGAACCAATTACTTATCTCTTACTACTTTTTTCAGAACCTGAAGAGGTTTCATCTGTCTCAGCTCTTTGAAGCAATATTTGAGCTTCTACAAAGCTTATTTACTGAATCACTAGTGGAAGTTGGTTCTTTTCTTAACTGCATATTTCATTTTGATATCTTAGCACAATAAAAGCCTGAAGAACAATTAAAGTTGGAACTGGGTATTTATGGTGTTCAATTTTGGTAACAGATAATAATATTACCTAAGGTATTTTGATATATTTTGGGGAAAGTTAATGTAACTTCTACTGCTCTCAGCTTCCCCTTTAATTCTTCAGAGAGCAGTTAGTTTTGTGCTCTGAGGAGTAGGAGGATTACAGATCCTGTCCATCTCCTGGTTTATCCCTCGTGTTCTTTTATTTTTCTCAGGTTTTGAGAATTGCTTCTGAATTAATTTTGTTATGTTTACCATAAACACTATAATGACCAATTAGTGGTTTCATTCTGTAGGATTGCCTTATTCCATGTTGCAGTTTAGATTGGTTTCTAGACCTCTTCCTTGACTCCCTTGTTTCATTTTTCTTAACTTGATATATGTCCCAAAGCACCTCTAAAGTTTGTTGGTAATACTATTATCTCTTGCTACAAGTGAGTCTCTTAAGATACATATAGAGTTAGTATTTATCTCAGACTTTACAACAAACAGTTGTTTTGGTTCTGTTAGTCCATCCATACTTTCAATATCTAAAATGTGTTTTGGAAGTGTTTTGGGGCTATATTTAGTTATAAACGTTCTCTGCTGTTTTGTGATTAGAAACCCATCTATTTTAACTTTTATGAGATACACATTTTAGACCAGAGTGTTAATTAAACTCCAGTTTGTAATCAGGCTACAAGTAGTAATAGTTTTAAGGGCATGAGTAGTTACTAACAATTCACTGTAGTCATATAATGTATTTTTTTTAAACTAGAAATTGAAATTAGGAATTTCAATACAAATTTTGTAAGTTAAATTTCAGTAGAACCAGTAGTTTTTTTCATGGAATGACTTTCCTAAAATAGTCCACGAGCTCTTAATTTCTCTTAACAGCTACTTATTCTGTGCACAAACTTTTTATTTTCTTCCCAAGCAATTTACCATTCTAACTTGGATATTCTCACTTCCAGAAGCAGCATGGAGTCTTCAGTTACCCAATAACCGCTGCTTTGTCCTGTGTGGTATCTTTGAAGCCGTGATGGCAGGGTAGCATAATCACAAACTTGCTCTGTTCAGTTCTGTCTTGAAACAAACATGATTTATAACATATTCTTGCTTTATTTTTTCCTTAGCTCATTTTTAAGTGAATTGATGGAAAGCATTCTCTCTGAAGAAATTAAAGGGATTTTTAGTCTAACAGCTACTGTCTGCATTGTGATTATAATTAAAGGTCAGTAAAACCATTTTTGTCCAATTTTTTTTCTTTCTTTTTTTTTATATGCTACATTTTGAAAGCTGAGTTCTTATACAATTCAACAGGGACTTTTTCTCACCCTGTTAGTTGTTATTTTTCTACAGGATTTAAGGTTATATCGCTTGTAAATGATGTTGTTAAGCTTTGGACTTTCAATCTTTGTGTAGTGAGTTTAAAAATACAACTGTCTGCTAACTCATAGGGTTCATCTCTATTCTGATTTGCTGAAATACATTAATTATTAATGTAATTAATAATTAAACAGTAATTAATCCAGGACAGTGAATATCTAATTTAATATCTAATGTTTCATTAAACAATCTTTTATGTTAAAAATATTCTACAAAAATATGCAAGTGGTGGTGATAAATCATTATTTTTGTCCAACTTTTCAACATAATCATATTTCAAATAGGAAAGCACAAAACTTCACTTCTAAAGGATATTGCTCCTGCCATTCAAAGGAAAGTGATAACATGCAGGGATGCTGCCACAGAAGAATCTAGCAGCACTGAAAGGTAAATGGGCTGTGGGAAATGAACACTAACCTCTCCTGTACCCTCTCTGCAATAATTGGCTATGTTTCGTACTTACATAATACAGTTAGAGCATTTTGAATGATTGCAAGGTTTAAAATAGCGGGTAAAATATTGTGAGGTACTGAGCCCAGCACGGTATTAAATTTCATGCACGTACATTTGCTGTGATTGTAATCTTTACATATTTAGTTTGGTTTTCGCATTGAATTTGAATGTGTTATGACTCGATCCTGTGTATTGCAGGATTCAGTTCTGAAATTCAGTTCTGTTAGCAGAAGGTGTAGAAGAAAGCAAGTAGTCTGTTTGCTGTTTCTTACCACTAGAAGATTTTTCTCCCATGTTTTGGAATTAGGCATATGAATCCGTACCTATGCAGGTGGTAAAAATTTAACTGAATATAACAATGACTTTAAGACCTTTCCACAGGTTATTTTATTTTGCTCTTCAGTGTCATATCTGGTTGACTTTCAGATCTTTTGGGATAAGTTTCTAGAAAGAGATGGGCTACATTGTATTTGTAATCTTTAAGACAGACATAATGAATGCTTTAGCCTTAAGTGTTTCAAACTTGCTGAAGTCTAAAAATGTGTTAACATTTTATTTCTGCCTAGTTATTGAACTGCCCATGGAATTAGAAAACATGCAAAGTAGACATTAAAAAGCACAAACATAGAATATGAAGAAAACAGACTATAGTTATGGACATTCATCTAAAAATACTGAGAAAGTTAGTAATGCACCACAGTGCCCTGAACATGCAGACACCCTTGCAATCTTTAATTCTTCAAATTGATGATCCTTACTATTCAGTCAAACAATGGATGTAGAGCAGACAGAGTTTAAATTAAACACCAAACCAAGCTAAACACCACTTCATTTTACTCAACAGTTTCTTGCACAGCCCCTCAGACCTAAGCACATTTCCACAGCGTGTTCCTCTGGGGGATTGCTAGCCAGAGGCATGTTGTTCTCTGGCATTGTAATGACTAGACACAGACCTTTGTCGGCTGTGCAGTGAATGCCACTCATTTAAAGCCAATACTAAAGTTATGACATGCTACTGTATGAGAAATAAGTCAAGGAGGCCACATGGGCTGCATCCCTTTCCTGTTATCATACTTCACATCCTTAGAGTTTGCACTTGAGTTGGATCAAGAAGTTCAACAGCTAGACTAAGTGTTCTGGCAATAGTAGAACTTGGAGGGCTGTACAGTAAATATCCATTGGGAATTGGTTCAGAAGTGCAAAAGGTAAATTGGATTTTTCTAGGGAAAAAACCCAACACAAAACACCTGATATTCAGGATAATCGAGCAGCTGTGTTGTTGCTAACAAATATGCATTCGTTCATTTAAATCTGCTATTATACCAGAGCCAAAAAGGTATTATGTAACTCTCTTTAAAGGGATATATAATCTTAAGAACTAGACTAGAAAGTTTTATGATATATATAAGCCACTGCAATTACGTACCATCAAAGGTTACATCTATTTAAAAAGAAAAAAAAAAGAAAAAAAAAAGAAAAAAAAAAACAGTGCACCCTTCACTTCCATTTCTTGTCTGACATAAGTAAATAGAAACCAGAAATTTTGCTGTCAAGACTTTGAATGGTTTCCACAGAGGACATTGTGCTCATGTAACATAAAATTGATAAAGAACCAAGAAATATCTTATTAAAAAAAATAATAAATCACTACATCATTAGACTTCTAAAACTCAGAGTGACTCTGCTTCCTGGGTAGATTGTTTTAATTAGTTGCTTGGCCACAAACAAATTTCTTTTGGTTGGGACCTAACTGAGAAACTAAATCAAATAAAAATAAACAACAGACAATTTTTTTTTCCCCAGTGAAATCATTTAACATTGGGTTGCCAAGTGTCCTACTAGAATATTTTGTAAAATAATAATAATGATCTGGAAAAGGTGAGCAGCAGAGTATCATGATTCAGTTTGCACTTATTTTAATCAAGACAGTAGAAAAGGCTGAGAAATTAAAGCAAATCTTAATGTGATTAAATAAATAGGCACATTAAAATGAATAATTGCTGGCACTTGAGTGTACTACTGACTATAAATTTCAGTTAGAACACAGATAATTGCTTTATGAATCTATGTGATCATCTCTGCCCAGTGAACAGGGACAAATCAACCTAGAAGTTGGGGCAGATGAAGAGCATAAGATGCTGCACAGTGTTTTAATTTTGTGATATATGAATGGCTCCCTTTGTGTAATACAAAACCAAGAGATAGTTGCAGATAAAATTAAAAGATTAGGAATATGAACATGATGATGGGAAGTATTTTTAATGAGAATTAGAATCGCAATATGATAACAAAATTCAGAAGTTATCACATAGCTTTGCAGAATTTGGGAGAATTCTTATTTGTACAAAGATGTTGGGAATTTTTTGTCTCCAGAAGGGTAAAAGAATTTGTGCTGAAAAAAGGTTAGGAGGAACTTCTTCAATTATTAGGTTGTGCCTGACTAATTTAAAGTGGGTTTGCACTTTCTCAGACAAAATGTTGGACCAGGCTGGGCCTCCAAGTGTCTTCTGACATGCCATTTGTAGTGCTGTGGTACTAATGTAAAACTAAAAAGTGGTTATATACAGTCTGCAATGTGCCCTGTTGTTTGTAAACTATTTTATCATCTTACTCTACTTTCCAAACACCAAAATTTTAGTTACGGAATGCTGCAAGCTAGATCTCTGATCGTTATTTGAGCACAGTCTTATAACACACAGTGCTGCACTGATGCGTGCTAAAATATATTAGTGGGGTTTTTTAACTCATACTTAATAGTATTATTACTTTTTTGCTTCTGAATGCATTATCTTATAATAACTCCTTGAGGGATTATTTTATTTAATGCCCAGGTGTACCAGGAAATAGTGACATTTTTTAATTTCCCAAGAGACTTGGCATTCTGTGCCAGCATCTTAAATTTAGACTTAGAAGTAATCTATTACATATTAGCAAAGAAAGAAAAAAGTAAAAATGCTGTCTGGTGTAGTAATTCAAGTGCTGCCCTTAAACAAGGAAATGTTGCACTAATTCAGAAGCAAAACTTTGTTGTAATTTAGTCTTCCCTCTTCAGCTGAGTTAGCAGTTTCAGATGTCCCTGTGGGTCCATTATTTTTAAAATGCTCTTCAGTGCACTTAAAAATTCTGGACAACATATTGTATATTGAGAGAATTTCCTCAAGAGTAATGGCACACACATTCGTTTAGTTTATAAAATGCAAATATTTATGCCTAGCAAAAAAATGTGAATAAAGCTGTCAGTGCAGTGATTTGGAGGCTAGAGAAAAATGTTCCATGCTCTATAAAACCTAATGTGCTATAGAAGAATACCTTTTACTTAATATTTTGTATTTACTTTAATTAGCAGTTTGATATATGGGTATTAGAATTTAAATTTAGCTAATGGCTGTGCTGAAAGATATTTCTTTAGTATTACCATTTAGGTAGCTTCCCAAAGTCCTTATTGCACTCTCATTGCATCTGTAAATAATGAATCTTGAACTGTTTTGTAACATAACTTTGTGTATGATTTGTCTGCCACCGATCTAAAAGTTCACTACAATGGTACCTGGTAAAACTGACTGAAATTTGTCTGTCTGGAGACGTGTACAGTTATTCTGAATGATGGCTTGCTGTCCAATGTGCGGCAGGTACATGGTCCCATATTACAGATCTGTTGTTTTATTAGCATTTAATTGTAACAAAATACAATTTATACACAGTAGCATTGTGTCTAAACCCATAGTGCTTTAATTATACTAATGTTATAATACATTATATTATGAGCTTATTTTGACAGTTGAGTTCCATCATGGCTTGAAGGATATAGCATTATAAAGAGGAGCATGTGATGCACCCGTGGTGGTGTGAAGTCAGGGAGCCCTAACATCCGATATACTGCTATGGAAATGCAGAGTTGTCTCTTGTATTTCAGGTCGTGGTGTCTTGTGATGATTGCCCTAACACATCATGATTAATGACTGACTATCCTTGCTTATTTTGGGCATCAGTCTAGGACTATAATAATGAAAATACTGGAGAAATACAAGTGACAGAATCTTTTACAGAAGTAGAATGAAGGATGAAGTTGGTAGTGGTTAACAGGGAAATAATGTTTTGACAGAAGACCAAAGTGCCCATTTTTGTCTTTTGAGGGTACTTTAGAGGAGTATTAGAAGTTGCGTGAGAATGCAACTACAAAGGCTAGGTGAGTGACTATGTCAGGCAATGCAAGAAAATAAAAAGGGCTTGCCAAATGGCAATTCCAGAGGTGGCCTTTGAGATTGCTTAGGGAGCAGTGTGAGACAAAAGAGAGTCAGAAAGGGACTAAGATGGGCATATATGTAGCTGAAGGAACCAGCTAGGATAAGATAGAAAGCTGAAGTTTGGAAAAAAATTACCAGAGGTGAGAAAAATTATGAAGACTGAAGAAGGAGGTGGAAAGGAAGAAATTAAAAGAATGAAAAATGGCCTTAGCATGAATTGGCGGTAAAAGATTTGACTATTTATTTTTGAAAAAAGAGTAAAAATGCAGTGAAAAAAACAAGTGGGTTCTTTAAATAGATGATGAAATATTAGAAAATAGGCTTGAATTGACATAGTAATTTAAACTGGCTTGCCGTAGATTACATTATAACTAGAGATGATCAGCAGAAAAATGGAAAAGTTGAAAGAAAAAACCCCACCTATTTCAAAAGTAATTTGTAAAGGCACATTTAATATTTGAACTAATATGGAATACTTGTCAAAGAAATCCTGTGGTAGCTATACCCTGAGAATCCAATAGTCGAGGATGGATTCAGCATTTGGCATATCTAATCCTGTAATGCATTGTTTTCTGCCATTTCAGAATCCTGTATGAGTCATGTCTGAAAACTTTGGATGAATTTTTGAATCCTTGACCATGTGGAAGCTTTTGTCATGAAAATTGAAAGAAGGAAGATGTATTTTTTGTTAAAGATTATCTTGTAAGCTTATTAATAGTTAAAGTTTCTTTTCTGTTACTCTGTACATTTAAAGCAGGCAAAATGTATAAAAGTGTGTATAGAAATCATGTAATAGTAAAGATTATTCAAACAACTGTAAAGAGGTTATTCTGTATAAAAATGTCTTGGGGGGGAGGATATAAAATCAGTATCTTTGTCTTTATAAAAAAAATAATAATTGTATTTTGTATGCTTTGAGATTGAGGTACCACATAACCTCAGTCCCTGGGAAGACTGTAGAGCATATTCCTAGAGGTCATGGAAATGAATTTCATTTTGACACAGGTGAAGGACAAAATGGTGATTGAGAACAGCCATCATGAATTCACCAGGGGCAAACTCCGCCTAACCACCCTGATTTCCCTCCCTTTTGTGAAAGAAGAGAGGGCAGAGAATGTTGTATTTCCTGTCCTTAGCAAAGGTTTTTACACAAGCTTATATACTGTCCTTATAGCCAAACTGGAGAGAGGAGGACTTAGAAGGTGGGTGGGAAACTGGCTGGACTATCAGACTTGATGAATAATGATGCTACAAACTCAGATTGAAAGCTGGTTACTCATAGCATTCCTCAGGGCAGGTACTGTTGCCAGTACTATTTAACATTTTAATTGAACGCTTGGGCAATGGGATGAAATGCAACCTCAGTGCACTAGCAGATGACACGAACTTGGGAGCTATGGTTGATATGCTGAGGGGTAGGGTTGTCCCATTCAATGGGATCCTGACAAGCTGGACTTAAAGATCAACAGATCTCATGACGTTCAACAAAGACACTTGTTGTTCTACCTGCAATGGAGTAATCCTGCATACCGGCATAGGCAAGTGCAGAAGGGCGATCTAATTGCTGTCCTCACCTACCTGGATGAGGATTAAGAAGAGCCTTTCCTCAGAAGTACACATGAAGACAATACGAGGCAACTGAAACAACTTGCAGCAAGATAAATTCGTGGACATAAGAGAAACATTTTCATTATGAGAATGAATTGAAACTGGAAACAAACGGAAACAGGTTGTTCAGAAAAGCTGTAGAACATCCGTCCTTGGAGGTGTGCACAATTAGACTGACAAGGTCCTGACCGTTGTGTTATAATTTTTGAAGTTAGCGCTGCTTGAACCAGGTATTGGACCAGACAATCTCCTGAGCTTCCTCCCAACTTGATTATTCATGTGATTCAGTGACGAGTGTACTGGAGGAGAAATGTCTGAGCTATCAAACATGTACTTGATATGTATATGTTAAATTGTTTTATATTTAGCTATTTTTATAAATTAATACCAATGATGCAGATAATGCAGACATGTAAGCCACTTATTTAATTTCTTTAATGCAGCCAGATGCTGTCCTAATACTAGTAATAGAATGCTGATTGCATAATGTTATCTTGCCTTAACTGAGATATCTGTAAATTAGATGTCTAAGTTCATGGTAGGGTTTAACCCCAGCCAGCAACAGTGCTGCACAAACACTCGCTCACTCCCCCCCAGCAGGATAGGGGAAGAATTGTAAAGGTAAAAGTGAGAAAGAAATTTGTGGGTTGAGATGAAAACAGTTTAATAATTAAAAAGGAATAATAATAACCTAAAAATTGTGAGAAAAAGGGAAAAAAATAACAGGAACATAAAACTAACTCAAGACAGACAAATGATGCAAATGAAAACAACCAACTGATGCCAGTCCCCAAGCAGTGCTTCCCTCCCCCCCACCGCACCCCGAGCTTTATTGCTGACCATGACATCATATGGTATGGAATAACCCTTTGGTCATTGGGGTCAGCTGTCCCAGCTGTGTCCCCTCCCAACTCCTTGTGCACCCCCAGCTACTCACTGGTGGGGTGGGGGGAGAA